AGGGGGCCCGCTGGGTCCTAAGGCCCGGTCACGTCAGCGCGGGCAGCTGCGCCTGCGCACAAGCCGCCCTCGTTCCGCGCCAGTGGGAAATTCCTTCACCACATGCCCAATCACATCGAAATGCCGTTTCCCCCCAAAGCACCCAGCTGCGTGACCCAGTCCAAGACAGCTACCGAACGGATGAGAAGCAGGAAATGGCTGCCCGATGCCCATAAACAGCATGGCGCCTGCGGGGCTTCGAAGCCCATGGAAGGCTAGCACGCATAGTGCACTTGGGTATTTCCCTTTTCTCCTGAGGGAACTCTACATCCGCCCAGGAGAATTCTGAGGCTGAGAAAAGGAACCTCATCTGCCCTCGCCTGCATTAGCACCGGCCAGCGTCGCCGCCGAGAAGCGCACTTAACTCGTTGCCCTTACTCTGTATGGCGCCGTGGGCGACGCTAAGCCCCGCCCTTCCCTGTGCCCTCACCCAAGATGGCGCCAGTCTGGCTTCTCTAACCTCCAGGGCTGGGAAAAGAGGGAGAAGGGCGGGGGTGGGGAGGGGGTGCCAAGAGGGCGGGAGAAAGGGGGAGTGAAGGGGGAGAAGGGAGCTGAGGCGGAAGTCGAGGGGCCCCCCGGGTGGAAGTGACGCTGCCCCCGCTGCCCAAAATGTCGGCGCCCAGAGGGAGGTGTAAGTAATTAAAGAGCAAAGCCGACTGACTTCCCCGGCCTCCCGGGGCCGCCCCAGGACTCCAGGACCGTCGCTCCGCACGAGCGACGTGGACTCGCCTGGCTCCGGGGCCTGCCTGCCCTGCCCTCGTCCCGGGCGCCCGGGGCCGCACCTTTTAGGGGCAGGGGGAGGGGCACAAAAGGCCGACTCCTGGGCCCCCGGGCCTGGAGCGGACTGGAGGGGGGGCAGCTCCTCGGTCTGTAGGTGCAGGGGGAGGCGGGGCTTGGTGTCAGGTGGGGCGGAGCAAGGGCTGGGAGGAGCCTGGTTGGGGCGGGGTTTAGAGTGGAAATGGGAGGAGTTTGTGGTGTAAGGCTGTGTAGACAAATGGGAGGGGCCTGTGCAAGGGGTGGGGCTTCGTAAAGGGGCGTGGCCCGAGGGGAACAGCGGGAGGGCTGGAGGGTGAAAGGTGGAAGGAAGGTGGTGAGGCTTAGCGGAGAAATGGGGTTCAGGAAGGTGGGAGGAGCTGAGAGTAGAAGGGGTGCAGTCTGTCTCGGGTGTGGCTGAGAGACGGTGGGTGGGCATGGGGAGGGGCCAGCTCGAGGTCCTTAATTTGGAGGGTTTGGGGGAACTGTCAGGTCTTTACAAGGAAGGGAGGACGGACCTGCACAGGAGGGGAGTACTTAACGGAGGGCCAAGAAAGGACTGAGGGAGCAGCAGCTCAGTGAAAGAGGGCCCGGGAAGGAGGGGGTGCATCTCAGGGAGTGACTGGCGAGGTTTTGGAAGTGGGTCCCCGGGAGAAGAGGGGCTTAGAGATGCCAGATCTCTTCGGAAAGGGTGGTGGGACAGAGAGGAAACCGGAGCAACTTAAAGGCTGGCGACAGCTTCCGCACAGCCAGCATGTGGCTCGGTCCTCGCTGCCTCTCCACGAGGCAGGTACTACACTGTTACTCCCGTGGGGCTGGTGACGTTTCATTTGGCTTTATCTGAGTTGATGGAACTAGTTCTGTTCTCCCTGGGATCCGGGGTGACTCGGGGAGCTGAGGCCCAGCTCTTCCCTCTCCAGAGTCGCCAGTCACCTTATCTTCAATGAGGAGTGGGAGGAGCTTAGGGGAGGGGCCGCCAGGGGGCGGGGCTTGCCAAGGACCGCAAGGGGCGGTGTGAACAGTGGCGGGACTTTGGGACTTCGAAAGGAGGCAGGACCTACGCAAGAATTGGGAGGGTTTAAGTTAGGGTAATGGGGCTTAGAGAAGAGTGGGACTCCATCTGCAGAAACGAGAGGCTTAAAAACTGGAGTGGAAGCAGTTTGGAAGTGATTAGGAAGGCTGGCAGATGAGAAAAGAGAGAGGGTAGGAGGAGTGGCTTGGAGGGGTGGACTGGACCCAGATAGGTGTAAGTTTGAGCCCAAGGAGCCTGGCAGGGGAGGGCTGATGGGGAGGTCACTCACCTGCCACTCTCTCCTCCCTATTCCAGAGAGAGCCCAGCCCTGTCATTGCGTTCCCTGCCACGATGGATGACACCCCGCTGCCAGCGCCCCCAGTCCCTGCCCCGACCCCAGCGCCAGCACCAGCACCTGCGGCTGCCGCACCCCGGGTCCCGTTCCACTGCAGTGAGTGTGGCAAGAGCTTCCGCTACCGCTCAGACCTGCGGCGCCACTTTGCCCGGCACACCGCACTCAAACCCCATGCGTGTCCGCGCTGTGGCAAGGGCTTCAAGCACAGTTTCAACCTGGCCAACCACCTGCGCTCGCACACCGGGGAGCGGCCCTACCGTTGCTCCGCTTGCCCCAAGGGTTTCCGGGACTCCACCGGCCTGCTGCACCACCAGGTGAGTCCTGCAGGCCCGGCTGGCCTCCCCGGGTGGACAGGCCTTGGAGGCCAGGGCCCGCTCCATTCTGGGCAAAAGGTCACTGCCTAAGGCACACTCACTCGCTCCTACTGCCAGACAGTTCACCGCTCCTGCTAAATATGCACCACCTTGTGCTCGTCTGGCACCCCTGCAGACCCCCTGGCGGGCTAGCGCCTTCCTTGCCAGTTTAAGAATAGCTTGGTCACACACGTCCTGTGCCCCTTCATTCAGCAGCTGCCAGTGCGCGTGCGCTCCACACTGCAGGCCGGGGTTGCGAGGCACGGCCCGTGAGCACCCAGCCTTCGGAGACTGGCATTCCTTTGGAGGTAGCCAGGTCGAGAGTACTGAGAAAGCAAGTACGTGGGCCAGAGTGTTCTGGAAAGGGAGAGGTGTTGGGAAGGGATTTCCAGAAACCCAGAAATCCGCGTGCAGGCATAAAGAGGCTGGCGCTCTAGGCCGCTCCGACGAGGCGGGGGAAGTGGGGGCGGGCGGCATGTGAGCCAGGCCTGAGGCGAGGAGGAGTCTGCCATGGGGAGAGTGTTCCAGGCAGGAGGAACAGCAGCGGCACAGGCCTTGAGGTGGAAAGCCGCGTGGTGTGGGCATGGTGGTAGGGTGGAGGGAGCGTGGGATAGGGTGGAAGAGGGGAGGTGGTGCGGGTCCCCACTGTGGTCTCTGTGCCAGACAGTAATGCTACAGGGCTGGGGAAACCCAGCATGTGTCAAAGGACATTCACACTGTCCCCTCCTCTGTTCCCGTGGCACCTGCTGGCCCCAAGGCCGTAGGGGCTGCTGTCACTGCCCACAGGACACTTTCCCATGGCAGGCTCTCCCTTAGACCATTGGTCTCAGTTTCCCTGTCAGGACCTCAGAACTCGGTGTGGGCCCCAACTTTCTTTTATAAAGAATTATTTAATTTTATTTATTCATTCATTTTAATTTGACCTGAGAGAAACACAGAGAGAGAAAAAACGAGAAAGCAAGACCCCAGGTCCAGGACTTGAACTGTGTTCAGCCATGTGGGAGTGTCCAGCGCCTTAATTACCATGCCATCTGCTGGCCCCCGGCCCCACCTTTCTAAGTGCCCTTGGTCCTGTCTCTCTGCCATGTCCAGCCTCCGTGTCCATCACAGAGAGATCAGATACTTCCTGCTTAAAACTCTGGTCTCCAGGGTGGTGGACGACACTCTACCACGCTCCGAGCACCACAGCCCTCCCAGGCCTCACCCCTGCCCACCACGAGGTGACAGCTCAGCTGGACCTTTTAACGAGGACCTGCTGTGTGCAGGCTCGGTGCTAGGCTCTTCGGGAAAATCGCCCGGACGGGTAAAGCAGACACCGGAGTCAATAGTCTAGCAGGGCAGACTGAATAGCCACGTTAATAAGGACTTGATTGCAGCCCACAAGGAGGAGGGGGGGTGATGGGATTCTGCGGCTGGAACAGAGAGATCTGAAGCCGTCTGGGTCAAAGTTGGGGTTGATGGTTTCCTGAAGAAGAAGTGATGGGTGAGCTGGCTCTGACGAACAGGGAGGCATTCACTGGGCAAGGAGTGGCAGAGGTAGGAAAGAGCCGGGCAACGGATGAGCCCTGGCAGGGAAGCAGGCTGGCTTTTGAGGAGCTGGGGGAGGCCAGTGAGGCTGGAGCCCAGAGCACTGGACAGCGTGCACAGGGAAGAGTGGAGAGCCAGCCGGTCTCAGGCACTGCTGTAGCCAGGCCTGGAGATGGCACCTATTTCCCTCATCCAAGTTAGACGCGGGTAGTACATGTGACGTCCACCGTCCCTCTGAAGGGTACCTAGGGGCGAGGTGCAGACGAGGCTTTCGGGCTGGCAGGTCAACTGAGACGGACAGCACACGGGAAGAGAGCGCTCTGGGCAGGGGGGCAGTTCAGTCAGCTGCTGTTAGGAAGGGGGAGTGCAGAGAGAGCAGGTTCAGTGGCAAGAGAGCGTAGCTGGAGCGTCCTGCACCCTCACGGTGTTGTGGTCCGGTCACCAGGTGTCACCAGAGCAGCAAATGCTGGCACTCCCTGTCCTTTCTGCAGGGCCAGCCCCTAGTAGACATTACTAATCAAGCACCACACTCTTCGTCATCCAGCGTCACAGTCCTTACCCCCACAGGCTCCCAGGCAGACATTACTAATCAACGGGACTCCACACTTGGAAATCTCTCTCTGCTATCCCAAGGCCCTTAAATCAGCCATGCGGGAGACTATCAGTAGATACCTGTATAAGGCACAGTTTCACCGGGTCTGCGAGCCTGGTCGCACCTCAGAGATGCTCTTGGACTCCCTCTTGGGATATTCTGCTCCCCTAGATCCGGAAGTGACTCCCTGGGTTTTTATTTGTAAAAACATCCTGTGGGACTCTGAGAAACAGACAGGTTTGGCTCCAAAGCTTGTCTCTGTCCCAATACACCTGGGAATGGTAGCACCTGGCTTGAAACCACAGGCTGGAGAATGAATGGAAAGACGCCCCCTCTCGGGCTTGGCTCTCCGAATAGACCTTCACCTTCCATTGTGGTGACCCTTGGGTCCAAGTTAAGTAAACCTAAGCCTCCCCTGTCAGCAGCACCGCATGTTTACCGTGCCGGCGGCCACACGCAGCAGGTAACGGCCGCGTTGGAGGGGCGGAGGTAGAGCCTTTCCATCATCCCAGAAAATTCTGGGACGTCCTGTGCTCAGAGGCTGTTTATCTTGGAAAGCTGCCTCCCACCCTGGGTGGTAATGCCGGCTTTGGCCACTCCCCAGCCCCACTGGTCAGGGACCTGGAAAGCTTTCTCCCGTCGTTCTGATTGTCACCAGTCGAGCAGGGTCATGTGAGGATTTCCCCTTTGCTCACAGCAACACCCAGGGGCCGAGGGGCTGTCCCTTCGTTTTCACTAGATTGCCAGAGGACACATGCACTCACAGGAGGGGCGTGCTCACCTCTGTTTCTCCATCCCCTTGGGATTTGGTCACACTCACACACACCCTTAGTGTGCCCTTCCAGCTGTTAGGGCCAGCATGTGAGCCACACCCACATAGGCCACGCGGGGTCCTGCCCCGTTAACCATGCAGCCATGGGGCCAGCCCTCTTTTTTACTTTTTTTTTTTTTTAAGTTTATTTTTTCCATGAGCAAGAAAGAGTGACCCAGACAGAGACCCCCGGCAGCGTTTACGGTGGTGATTCAGCCCCAGACCTTGGCCTGGGGCCTGCCAGTGCCACAGCGGGGTGTTCAGAGCCCCTTCCCACTGGTCAGCCTCACCCAGGCTGTGAGCTCACTGCACCTGGCTCCCAGACGGCGTCCCTTATACCAGTTTTTCTTTTTCTTTTTCTTTTTTTCATTATTTATTACTTTTAATTTGACCAGAGAAAGACAGAGGGGAGAAGTGAGAAAGCAAGTGGCCAGATCCAGGACTGGAACCGTGGTCTTCAATGTGGGAGTCCAGCACCCTAACCACTATACCACCTGTGGGCCCTGTTATTGCGCCCGTTCCGCAGAGAAAAGCAGAGGCCCAGTCAATTGCCCAGTTTTCAGAGTCAAAGGTGGGATTGGAAGCCGGGGGTGCCTGCTCGGAGCCTTGGTCCCCACCTCTCCCAGTGAGTCAGAACCCCTCCGTGGCTCGTGTGGAAGGGGCGCCCGCGCAGGATCTCCACCGCCCTGTGCGCACAGGCCGGGCGCACCAGGGCCCTCTGCGAGTCCGGGAATCTGCGGGGCCCTAACGCTGCGCTCCTCCCCGCACAGGTCGTCCACACCGGTGAGAAGCCCTACTGCTGCCTGGTCTGCGAGCTCCGCTTCTCCTCGCGCTCCAGCCTGGGCC